GAGTCTGCTTCTCCCTCTGGCCCTCCCCCCTCTCATGCGCTCTCTCTCATTCTCTCTCTCCCAAATAAATAAATAAAATCTTTAAAAAAAAAAAATTAAAATTAAAAAATGACTATCCGTAGCTTCATACAGCATTCCAGTAGTGCCATCTGAGCTAGAGCCATAAAGTGGAGAAGTTGGGGGGGTTGGCCTGAGTGCGGTGGTTTGACTGTTCACAGGACCTGCGTAATTGACACTGCTGTAGTTTGGAAGCTGGATAATTTTCAATGACTTTAGAACTAAAATCACTCCTCTGTCTTCCAAAGTATCAGAGGAGGAGAATAAGCCCCAAAAGACAAACAGAACCCACTTCATTAACCAGATACAGAAGACACTAAGAATCATGAAATAGACACGGAACGTTATTGAGAGAAGGCTGAACCATCACAGCAAGGAATGTGCAGAGAGTAAACTCATCTGTTAAGGGAAAGAACTTTCAGACTGGGTTAAAAAAGCTCTGCTGTGTACAAGCAACACACCTAAACAAGGTGATTCAGAAAGATTGAGTGATGTTTCTGGTTTGGTGTATAACTGCCCCCTGGTGACCCCAAAAGAACTAGATGGATCAGCTCCACGGTTTTATGCCCTGGCACATGTGACCAGATACGAAAACAGGCCTCTGTGCATCTAAAGAAAATCAGGCAATAGCCTGAAAGAAACACGTCTGTGCTTTTTGGTTCCTCTTGGGCTTGTCGTGAAGTCTGGGGATGTTGCCGTGTTGGGGCCTGGAGAGCGGGAAGAACGCGGGGGAGGCTCGCAAGTGTGCAAACCAGTGGGACCAAGGAGAGGGTCTTTTGAGGGCCAGGTTTTATCATCTAGTCATGGAAACAGTCATATAAATTAAATTCTTACATACTAAGATGGTAATACGATTAGGTAGTTTTATCAGCGACCTTTATTATGAGAGACTAGGCTTCTAGAATCTTCCAGTTTCAAAATGACACCAAACCTAGAGGTAAGAAAATTAAGGACCTAGTTTCATGAAAGGAAGTTTGGAAGACCTACTCCCATCAAAACTGAGTGGAGGACCCAGAGATTTCTGCCAGCTCCTGATTAATTTAGTCCAGGGCCAGAAAGAACTAGGGGTGTTGCTGGAAGGGGAAGGTTCCAGAGATTTTGGCAGCCAGTGGAAGAGTCTGTGTTAAAAGGCCTGTGGGAGCGTCGCATGTTTACAGGGAAGGAGAAGTTGGGGGGTTTACGTTAGCTTTTAAAATCCCACATGGAGGGCGCCTGGGTGGCTCAGTCGGTTAAGCGTCTGCCTTTGGCTCAGTCATGATCCCAGATCCTGGGATCCAGTCCCACGTCGGGCTCCCTGCTCGGCGGGAAGGCTGCTTCTCCCTCTGCCTCTGCCTGCCGCTCCCCCTGCTTGTGCGCACCCTCTCTCTCTCTCTCTCTGGCAAATAAATAAAACAAAACAAAATCCCACATGGAGCCATAGTGAGAACAAACACTCTTGTCCCCTGTTGGTGACCCCACACAATCCTAACTGAGCTGTCGTTGTACCATGAAAAATGCTTTGGGGAGCTATGAGATAATCTTCCTATTTTAGATTTTTTTTTCAAGGATCTAAAATACATTAAATATGAAATTTAATTTAGAGTTTTCAAATATCTTTGCAGTTGTCCTAAGTTAGGCTCTGAAGGTGGAAAAAAATCACCTTAATATTTGTGCTTTCCAGTTGGCTCGGCATGCCCGGTGAGAGTGTCCTTCAGTCCCAAGTCCTGTAAAGAGCAAAGGCAAACTTGCATAATTTAAAAGTTACGAAACTCCTTAGTGCCGGATTATCGGAGAAGAATAGCGTCTGCTAAAGCTAATTAAAGTTTAATATGTTCAATGAATGTGATTGTTACAGACAAAAAAATCATTAAAGCGCTGTAGAAAATTGTTAAGTTGCCATCAGGCCACATAACAAATTGATGATTTTTCTCACTCTGAATTAATGCAAATTCCCGTTGTGCTCTATTTAATTATGCACGAAATGGTGCCCTTGACTCAGATTTCAGTGAAAAACTTCATTTTTTTTACTTTCAAGTCTCCAAGTAGGAAATTCAATTAGCATTATGAAAGAAATGCTAAAATGGGGCATTTAATTCCAAATGTATTTCAGGCTCTTCCCATTTAGCCAGTCACTCACCTTTCTCCCTGTGCTCACTGACTCTGCCTTCAGAGGTCCTTTTGTGTTTCAAAATGTGACGTTTTCATTTTAATTTATTCAAGCATTTGAGAAAATTGCCCTCCATGTACTCAGAATGAGAAATAATTTAATGTGCTGTTTCTCTTTTGGTTTCTGTTCGGACACTTCCATGAGACACTTTTAAAATAGCATGTAAACTATAATTCTTAAAAAGACAGTGGTTTTTAGCACATACTGTATGCCACGTGTACTGTTTAAATGAAGTTTTTAATTTAACAGTGAGAAACATACAAAGGCTAATAATAAGTGTGTAAGTCTGAGTCAGCATTTTGTGGGCTGTGTTGTTGCTCAGTTTTGCCCACATTGTAAAGTACATGCTAAATTCAACACACAAATGAAACGAAACCGCAGAGAAGCAGTTTGGGCCAGTTGGGCGCCCGCTGTGCTGGGCAACAGGGTTCAGGCGCCTCCGGGGGTCCCCATCCGAGCGGGGACATGGCTCCAGTTTTGTTCTCCCGTTTCCACAGCGGGTGGTTAGTAGGTAATCATTTTTTATACTCTTTGATCATAATTCTTGAATATAATTTAAGCTAATGATGTGCTCAGTTTTATAGGCTTTTTTTCACTCAACATTACATCAGGATCATTTTTCCTCATATTAAAACATCTCTGAAATATTTTTAATAAACTTCATAATGTCCCATCATGCAAATTTACCACAATTGACTTACAGTTTCTTATTAGTTGTTTACAACTCTTCCTTCCTTTTGATGCCAGGAACATCCTTGTGCATAAATCATGGTCTGTATCTCTGGTTGTCTGCTTAGGATGCAGTCCTGGAAGTGGAGGTCAGAGGACGTGCATGTGTGTGGCTCCCGGTGCCCGCGCCACACCGGCCTCGTGGGCAGCTAGGCCAGGCTGTGCCTTGGAGAAGCTGCTAGCGGTGTCGGTGTGAGCCTTTGCTCCGGTGTTGGAAGCCCAGCTGTCTTGTCACAGCTCTGAGGAGGAAGCATGTGACAGGTGTGCGGGGCACTGACCCGGAGCTGAAACCACCCTGTGCCAGATGCCAGCCAGGTGCCTGGGGGGGGGGGGGGCGCCGTTTTGCTCTCCTGGGCCCCGTTTTCTGGTACAGTGAGGGGTGCAGCAGCTAGCTGGGTGTCTGAAATCCTGTAGCAAGGGAGCTAAAACCAGGCTTGCCTGAGAGTTGGCAGATTCAGGCTTTCAGGATGAAGACTGTCTCCACTTCATCGGGCTCCTGTTGGAGGAGGACATGTAAATCACGTCTTGTGTCTAATGGTGTTTGTTGTAAGAGGGAGATAGAGTCCCTGGTTATTTGTGGCTATGAAAGAGCTGGCCTTCCCAGAGATCGCACGTTCAGCCTGCCTGATCAAGTTAACCTGCAGATACATCTGCACAGGGTGAGGTGACTTAGCACGTGCGTATTCATAGCATCGTCATTGGTAAAATTAGTAAGTAAAATAAATAACGTAACTGTCCATCAACAGGTGGTGCTGCATACATCTAGTAGAACACCATACAGCCTCAAAAGAGGGAACCAGATTGATTGAGAAAGATCGTAGAGACAGAGTATCATGTGAACGATGATCGAGGCCCACACAATGTGCATAGTGTGCTAACGTTTTCTATTTTAAAGTGGGGAGGGAGAAGATACTTTCTTGTCTGTGCACGAATCTCTGTGAGAAGGTACTTAAGACTCTGAGCACGGCTGCTCGTGGGCCGGGAGCCAGCTGCTGGGTTGGAGAGAGTTTGCGCTGTGCCTGAGAAAACAGTGTCTAAAACATAAGCGCTTAGTCCCTTCGTCCTGCCAGCGCTGCTGGGACAAGCAGGACAAGTGAGCCATGCCGTCCGCCGCCCTCTTGTCCCGTACCTGGTCACTGAACTCACGGAGGAGCTCGGTCGCTCCTCTGTACATCTTGTGGACCTGGTCATGAGAGGATCATCAGACTCCGGATTTGAATTTTTCTTTTTTGGCAGTAGTGTTGCATAGATAAAACGTCGTCTGCTTTACATTGTGTCACTTCAGCGTCAAAGACCCAGTGTCTGAGTCGGCGGCCGGAGGGGCCGGGACTGGTGTGCGGCTTCGGTCCGCCTGCTGCAGAGGCCCCTTGCGGCCGCGCCCTAGACCCGTTCTTTCCTGTGCTTGTGAAACAGCCACGGTCCACCTGCAGCAGCTCTTCACTTCTTAGCAGACATTTCCCCCGAAGAAAAACTTTACTTTTTCTCATCAGTTATTTGATTGCCCTGGGGACTCTTTGTGCAGAAATGATACCTCCTCAAGGCAACCGTGTGTTGAGCCGCTTTACCATCACCACGAACGCATGGACTTCCACATTTTGCGTGTTTCAGTCAATTACAAGCATTCCTTTTCGCCTTCCAACCCACCTGAAGGCGGGGGGGTGTGGGGCGGCTGGCTTTCTGGGGTACACACGGTGACACGTGTGCATTTCCTGGCTCCATATGGAATCCCATATTTTCCCAAGGAGCCCTGGTTCCTTCCCATGAGAAATGGGTCTACAGAAACCAAACCTGGGCACTCAGGCTGTTCATTGTCACATGTGGTTATTGTTTCCAGGCCCTGGAAACCATGGACAGCGTTAGGAAATGGGTGCGGTTTTTTCCCTAAGAGAAAAATACATCACAAGTTCAAACTGACATTTCCAATTCAAATTTAAACTTCCAAGGTTTTCGGGGTGGCTCAGTCGGTTAAGCATCTGCCTTCGGCTCAGGTCATGATCCCAGGGTCCTGGGTTCGAGCCCCACATCGGGCTCCTGCCTCAGCGGGAAGCCTGCTTCTCCCTCTCCCTCTGCCTCTCTCCCTGCTCATGCTCTCTCTCTCTCTCTCTGTATCTCTGTGTCTCAAATGAATAAATAAAATCTTAAAAAAAAAAAATTTAAACTTCCAAGGTTTTTATTTCTTTGATTTTATATTTGGATCTTATTTTAACGGGGACAGTTGTGGTTTTTAATTTGCTTTTTTTTTTTAAGATTTTATTTATTTATTTGACAGAGAGAGACACAGTGAGAGAGGGAACACAAGCAGGGGGAGTGGGAGAAGGGAGAAGCAGGCTTCCCGCCGAGCAGGGAGCCCGATGCGGGGCTCGATCCCAGGACCGACCCTGGGATCATGACCTGAGCCAAAGGCAGACGCTTAATGACTGAGCCAGCCAGGTGCCCTTAGTTTGCTCTTTTGCTTCATCTCCTAGTGAATTCTGGAGTCCCACAGTCTGTTACTATTCCACATAGATGCGCAGTAGTCGTAAGGAGCACCGTGGTGGTTTTAGAACAATACTGCGGGGGCGGGGGCGCCTGGGCGGCTCCCTGCTCGCACTCAAGCCCTCTCTCTCAAATAAATAAAATCTTAAAAAAAAAAAACAACACTCAGAATAACGCCTCCCTGTGTGATTAAGCCACCAATGCGTAGGTTCCTTTGTTTCATTTTGCTTTCAATATTTTGAGGTTGCTGTTTTCCTCCCCTTTTGAGTGAATTTGGGTTTTTTTTCTGTTGTGACATCCGAGTGGCTCAGAGTTTAGAGAAGACGAGCTCTGTCACTGTTCCTCCACCCTGCTCTGTCCCCCCGGGTGGCTTCTGTTCTGACATAAGCAAATGGGCGTATATATTCAGGTCTTCCCTCTCGTACCTTCTTGAATTTAAACAAATTTTTAAAAGACTAAAACTGTGGAGGCCCTGCTCACCGGAGAGGTTCTGTTTCCCGTGAGTGAACGTTATTCTTGTCCTTTCTCATGCACAAAGTGCAGGGCACAGTGTTTGGTATTCTGCAGAGCTCAGTCTGGAGCATCATAAAAAACCAGATGTCTTTTGGGAAAATGTGACCACAACAACGTTTTACTGTTTGAAGCAGGCAGGTTTTGTGTGCTTTTAAAAAATCCATTCAAGGGTGCCTGGGTGGCTCAGTTGCTTAAGCGACTGCCTTCGGCTCAGGTCATGATCCTGGAGTCCCGGGATCGAGTCCCACATCGGGCTCCCTGCTCAGCGGGGGGTCTGCTTCTCCCTCTGCCCTCTCGTGCTCTCTGTCTCTCATTCTCTCTCTCAAATAAATAAATAAAATCTTTAAAAAAAAAAAAAAATCCATTCAAGGGCCGCCTGTTAAAGCCACGTCCTGCACACCTGCTTTCTTTTTAGGAGCTGTACCCCGCGTTCTGCATTCACAACGGAGGCTCTGACCTCGAGCGGCTCCCCACGGCCAGCACCTGCATGAACCTGCTGAAGCTCCCCGAGTTCTATGACGAGACCCTTCTGCGAAGTAAGCTTCTCTACGCCATCGAATGTGCTGCTGGCTTTGAGCTGAGCTGAGCCCAGACGGGGACTGACCCTCCGCAGAGGAGTGCCTGTGGCCGCACCGTGGGCAGCTCCCCCGGCCGCTGAGGGCGCTGGGGCCGGACTCCTGCAGCTCTCCTGCCCCCCTTCCCGTCCCTCACGCCCCCTCCTCCATTTTCTAGATGGTCCGTTAAGTCATGGTCGCTCACTTAGATGGACACTGCTTTTCCGATAACTTAGAGTAACCAATGTTATGTGCCATGTGGCTACTTTAGTAACTTTGCCAAGAAGAGCACAGTTTTAAGACTAGTGGCAACTCAGTGAAATTAACCAAAGATGAAGCTTTGGCTTTGCTGATGGACTCGAGCCCTTCCTGGGCTGGGGGGTGCTGGGGGGGGGGCGGGGGGCAGCGCGTTTGCTCGGTCTGCAGAGACACTGGGTCTGAGAGATAGAGATGTGTCCTCTCTGGGCCCGTTGCTTCTCGTGTGGCTGAATTGTTTACAGTCCTGTTAAAACTAAAGGCATTTTCTCTCCTGCTGCCTTTTCCCAAAGTGGTTAGGTTTGGAAAATACACAACAATGATAATGCTGTATTTGTGCTTTTTAAGCCATTCCCCTGAATGGGACTAGCATGCTTGTTTCGGTTTACCGTTGACCGCATCATGGTGGTTTGGGTATTCCTGTGTGTGGGTGTGTGTGAGGGGAGACTTCATCCTTCTTCCATTTCTGGCTCCACCTCGTGGCCACAGAGCTTCCGGGAGAGGGGAGGGGCTCGTCCGGTTCCCGCGGCCCGCGTGGCCCGCGATCGGCGCGACTTGGAGAGAGCAGACACTGGCATCGATTCGAGTCACTTGAACCAAAGTGGGAGGCTGCGGGTTTGCACTGGGCGCCGCCTGCCATGCGGGGCCTCGAGGCCGGCCGCCCTCCTCCCCCGGGGCTGCGCCCGCCCCTCTTGCCAGATATCTGGGCCGTGGGCCACGCTTCTGCACCCTCTGCTTCTCGACGGTGCTGCGCTGAAGGAAGCCTGGACAGTCCCCAGCGCGTGTCCGGGGGAGGAGTGGTGGTGACTCTCTCTTAAAAAGGCACTTTATCAGGACCTACCTTGTTGCTGGGTGATTTCGGTCTCTGAAAACGGAGAGCGCGTCAGAGCGTCAGTCATGAGAGCCAGAGTGACCCTCGCTGATGCTGGGGGCCTGGGGGCTCTCGCTCTGACCTCCCTCTGCCTCACCTAGCGTTTCCTGTCACTGGGCTGTGGGCTGTCCTATGGAATTGACCAGAATTAGCAATATGCTTTTAAATGTGGGGAAACTGAATGACACTTTTAAGACAATGACCATATCAAAACAAAATGTATAATTTCATAATTTGAATAATAAATTAAGTGTTTAAATGCTATTTGTAGTCTTGATATACAGAAATAAAATAATTAGGGTTTGTCCTTGGTTTTATTTTTATTTTAGGTTGGTTTATGTTGAATGTTCTGTATCTTCTCTGCATATTAGTTTGTGTATTTTATTATCAGTATTTTGAAAATGGATTATCTGGGACTGAAGGGAGATGGGCAATTACACTTACTTGGGGTTTTTTTCTCAGCTATTCTGAGCTTATTTATTTATTTGTATGTTCCAGTGGTTAAATATTTGCATTAAATGTTTTTTCCCCCAAGATTGTGTTGGAGTCACCCGAAATCATTGTGATTCGTTGCTAAAACGATTGTTTCATCACGGGTGTGTAAGTGACGTCAGGTAATGCGGCGTAAGGACAGCCTGTGATTATTGCTGAGACCCCACCAGACTGGACAGGATGCCCGCCGTCTGCACACACAGATGCTCCAGCAGGCGGACGGGGGACCGCCCTCCCGGCTTGTGCTGGGGGCACCCTCCCCGGGGCTGCGCCGCCGGCCTGTGCTGTCCCGGGAGGGATGCCACTTCCCAGGCTCTCCGTGGGTTTAGCAAGACGCTGTTGAGAAAAATTATACGTAAAGGGAGACTCTCTTTCTGTGCTTTGTTTGCCTTTCTCTGTGTTCTTTTCTACTTTGTGTTTACTGCTAACAATTTTGTGCTCAAACGGAACGTTGAGTTAAAGTGGGGGTATTCCAGGTGTTTCTCACAGGCTGTCGCCTGCAGAGAGAGTCTGGCCGGCGTCCTCAGCGCTCGGTGGTCTTGTCGCCACGTCCTGCCCTGGTGCTCGTGACAGCCCCGCCTGCGGCTTGTGTGTGGTGAGCACCCGTGTGCGGCACAGCCGGGCGCCACGGAGCCCGCCACAGCCACTAGCAGCCACGGCCCTGCCGCTCGAGCCCCAGCTTGCGGTCCGCACAGGCCTTCCGGCACAGACCCGCCGTGGGCAGCGATGGAGAACCGAGGCAGGGCCTCACAGACCTGTGGATGCTCGTGGGATTTGGAGCACAGGAAGGGCTCCGGAGACTTCCTTGCGGGGAGCGGTGAGCTTGACATTATTTCATATTGAAGCTGTCTCATGATTTAAAGAAAGATAAACAGCCAAAGGCATATGATAATGCAAATAAAATAGAAACCTGGGGCCTAGAATAGGAGCGTAAAATAAGCTAACCACAGCTAATAATTAGCTGATCTCTCGCAGCCAAGACATAAAGCCAGAAACTGAAAACAGTCAGCTCTTTGAAATTTATCTGTTCCAGGCCAGAACGCATTACAAGTGCGTAATAACCTGTCTGAGATACCACAGCCACGTGTACCATGCAGGACGGCGGATTTCCCCTGGATGCCTCTGCTCCCCAAACGGAAGCCGTGTGTCGGTGAGCTCTCTCGGCTTCCAGAGGCTTCTCCCGGTGCTGTGCTGGCGGCCAGGCTCGGAAGCCTCGACGAGTCCTTGTGCGAGGCGTTGGAGAGCTGAGAGGACCACGTGGGCTGCAGGTGGGAGGCTCCTGTGGGCTCCAGGGCTGTGGGCCACGCAAAGCTCTCTGCTTCCAGAAGAGTCTGAGGGGGAGTTCTTTTCTTTTTTTTTTTTTAAGATTTTATTTATTTGACAGAGACAGCGAGGGAGGAAACACAAGCAGGGGGAGTGGGAGAGGGAGAAGCAGGCTTCCCGCGGAGCAGGCAGCCCGATGCGGGGCTCGATCCCAGGACCCGGGACCATGACCTGAGCCGAAGGCAGACGCGTAACGACTGAGCCACCCAGGCGCCCCTGAGGGGGAGTTGTTAAAGCCTGAGGACTTTGTGCCTCCGCTCGTGTGTCTGTCAAATGGGGATGATCTGGGTACTTGGGCTGCCCAGCAGCGTTGTGAAGGGACGTGCAATAGAATCTCACTTTAAACTGTGGTCTCACGTGGTTTGATGCCACGTCTTCGAACTGCAGAAGCAGGATGACAGCCGTCCGACCCCGGCCTTAGTAAGCGGACGCCTTTGCTGTTTCCTCGGCAGAGGTGGGCAGAGGACAGTCACCTGTCTTGTCTTCCCACCTCTCCGTTCCTTCTGTGGAGGGACGGTTCCCAGTCAGCTCTGAGCGCTTCTCGGAAAGTAGCATCCTTCGCTTGTATACGTGACACATCACAACCCGCCGTGTGATTCAGTCAACACTTAGCGGACGATCGTTCACCTTACACGGGTGGTGCAGCCTAGGTCAGGAGCCCCCCTCCCCCCGCCGGCCTCCCCGGTGGGCTCTGCAGTCAGCACAGGCTGTGTGTCCTCCCTCCATCCGGAATAAAGCAAAGGGCAGACTTACCGTGGAGGTGAGAACCTGCGTGGGGTCGACTGGGGACACGGGGTCTGAGCACCTCTTGGAGCTATAGCGAGCCGACAGCCAGGACTGCAAGCAGAAGCACACGTTTGATTCGGGATGAGCCTGCGGACTGGTGAATGTCGTTACCAGAAGCTTCTGCCTGGACCCGGTGCTATCTGGAGAATGGAGGTGGGGCAGTAAGTGGATGCCATACAGACTCAGACCCGAGAGAGGAGAGCCAGCCCGAGTCATGCTGCACAGATTTGCCCAAGCCGGGGGAGGATCTGTTTGAAGAAAATTAATCTCACGTATGATTAGCTTCCTGCGGCTGCTGTGTCGTGACCCCAGACAGGTGACGGGCACAGCAGCCTCCATCCTCCGTGCTGGAGGCCCGGAGGAGGCGTCCTAACCCGGCTCCATCTGGGGAGGAACCTGTTCTCTGCCTCTCCCCCTCCTGGTGGCTGCTGGCGCTCCTGGGCTGTGGCCACGTCTCCTGCCCATGCCAAACCTCTGTCTGCACTTCTCCTCTGCAGACACTTGTCCACTGGAATGAGGGCCCCACGGGGAACCCAGAGTGACGATTCCATCTGCAAAGACCTTTTTTTCCACGTAAGGGTGCCATCACAGGCTCTAGGGCCAGGACACGACCCTCTGTTGGGGGCCCAGCATTCTGTGCTTTCCCTCCAAAAAGCAGAGGAGCGTGCTAGACGAGCCCTTAACCTGAGAGTTGGGAACCGCAGAGCCCTGAGTAGGTCCATCCTTCACCATCAGGGAATGCAGGCCCACACTGGATCGGTGTTCCCCATCCCCAGGATGATCCAGGGGAGGAGCTCACCTGTCTGCATTTTTCAAGTGTCCCAGACGGTCCTTTGCGGGTAGCTGTTGGTAAACAACTACCTAACCTCGCGAAGTCTTGAACCGCTGAGCACTTCAGGGCAGGGGCTGTGGAGCGTCCCACCCGAGGCGTGCGGGATCCATTTCCTCTGTTCTGGGCAGTGCTGGGCCCTCTGCTGCAGGGGCGGAGCCGGTTACCTCCAGCACACGTGCCCCATGCGGGGCTCCTGGGAGACGGGCCCGGCAGGGTCCCCTTGTGTCCCCCACCCCCGCCGTAGGCACACACGAGCAGGTGTTTCCGGGGATCCCTGGGCCAGACTCGAACTGCAGTTCACACACTGCGTCTGTGTCCACAGGCACTCCCCTGTGCCTCCACTGCCCCTGACCCAGACTCTGTGAGCCCAAGACGGCTGCTGAACCCCGCTTGGGCCCCAAATCCCTGGCTCATCCTCACTGGCTCCCCACACTGCTGCCCTGTGTGCTGCTCCCAGAACAGCCCGACTGACCCTCATTGCATCTTCTGCCACCTCCCTGTCCTGAGCCCTAGTCTGGGGTTTGCCTGGCTCAGCAGGTGCCTCGCAAGTGTCCCCCCCTCACTTCTGTCTTCACTCACCTCCAAGCTGTTTTGAACTCAGTAGCCAGAGGAAACCCTGGATCCTAAGCCAGTCCTCCCCATTGCTCCACTGCAGTCGGGGGGGCGGCCCTTAGTGACAGGACCCAGATCCCCTCCTTGCTAACCAGCTCCACAGGCGGCTTTGGCTTCCTCCTCTGGCCTCGGGGCCTTTGCATTTGCTCTCTACATGAAAGCTCTTCCCACAGACACTCGGTGGCTTGCCCCCTCACTTTCTTCAGGCAGTTCTTTGCTCAAGGTCGCCTTTCCTTACCACTTATTAAAAATTGCAGCCCCTCTCTGTCCCCATCGTGGCCTGTCCTTGCTTATTTATGCTTCCTCGGCGGTACTAGATCCTGTGTGATGTATTATGCTCTCCACACTTTCTCCACCCCCACTAGAACGTAAGTTTCATTGGGGTAGGAGTTTGCCCGAACTGCTCTGTACCAACACCCAGAGTAATGCCTCGCACACAGCAGGCTCCATGATTATTTGTGGAATGCATTTGCTTTATGAGTGAAGAAAGGTTTTGCTAACCGAGCTAAGGTTCAAGTTAACGCCTCCGTGAACTTGCAGGTTGTGAATTCTCGGGCCCAGGTTGGAGACCCTTTGCCAACAGTAGTGAGAGGTCGATTATCTTTCCGGACTGCCCTGCCCTTCCAGCCCCAGCGCAGACCCTTCTGCGGTCCCGCGCTTTTCGTGGGGACTTTGTTCCTTGCGCTCCCCGGCACTGACTCCGTTACCAGGTAACCACGGGTCCTCCGTGTGTCCGCAGGCTGCCCACGTGTGCCATCTAGTGGCGGCGGCGGCCGTGGGCTTAATGCTGTGCCGAGCCGGCCTCCCTGCGCGCCCTGGACACCTCGGCGGCTGTCCTGGTTTCCCAGCAACAGCACCCCGTCCAGCCACCATCAGAAGCTAGTGACTTATGAAACTTGAACCTCTTCACAGAACCAGCGGGATTATCCTGCTGTGTCTTCATCATGCGGTGGCTTTAAAACGATAGGATATAAAGCAAGGCTTTTAATAAAAGTCTTGAAGTTTAAAATCCCATTGCCTTAGTTTCTCAAAACATCACAGAGTTAGTCTATGAGCAAGCAGTTCCACTCCTAGGTTTATCCCCAGACGGGAAAACCTGTTCAACAGGCTGGTATGTGGGTGTTTACAGCGACATTATTCATAGTAGCCAAAACTCGGAGAAAATCTAAATGTCCATCCACTGATGGATGAGAAAATAAACTATTTTTTGGACACAGTACCGAAAGTACAGGCAACAGAAGCTTATTGGTGCATCTTTTTT